TTTATTTATTTATTTATTTATTTATTTATTTATTTATTTATTGCCCTTCAGCAAAGTACAATCAATTGCTATGGTAAGATTGATGCCAATGGATCAAGATACCTTCTAGGCGACATGAATGGACGATTATTCATGTTGCTATTGGAGAAGCAAGAACTAATGGATGGTAACATTGAGGTCAAAGATCTGAAACTTGAGCTCTTGGGAGAGGTATGATAAAATCCATCAAATTTGTAATGTATTCTGATTTATGCAATATATATAATATTAGGAACCTGTACAGGCATTTACACTTGCGACCTTGCAAAATCTATTATGGCGCCGTCAAGCAGAAGTATAAATAACTTCACTTTAGGGTTTACGTAGCCCCTTCAAATAGTCCAGTTTCGAGATTTTTTTGCTCACCCTTAGTCTTGGCTGTGCATTATAATATTCAGGTATTCAACCATAGCCTGTGGCATTTTAATCAACTTCTATTGTTTCTGAGTGGGTACATTCCTTACTATACAATGGAACTTAAAAAAAAAGAACACATTTGTACGCAATCAAGGCTAAGACTGAGCAAAGGCAAACTCGAAATGGGAGTATTCTTTCTTCCTGTGGATGAGTTGCCTTTACTGACAATGTTTTGAATGAAATCTCCTATGAACAGAAAGTTATTTACACATTTTTTAAGATCTTGGTAGATTTTGCAAATCTTAAGTCCACTCCACAACTTTTCAGCTTGTCAGAGCGGACAGAAATTGAGTCCAGGATTGGACTAATTCATTATAAACTTCTCCTAGGTGACAATTTTTTTCTTCTTCATTATATATTAATATTTTGACATTTATTTTTAAAATCTCTTATAATTATGAATGTGTAGTTCCAGAAAATATCCATACCCCCACCATGGAGGATATTTGTAAAAGGACCCCCACTACACCCCCAGGAACTTCCAATTTCCTTCCATACAAACTCTGTAATTTTGTTCTTTCTCCGACCACCTCCCCTCCAGAATTTCCAATTTCCTCCATGGGTGGGTATGGATAAGTTCTGGAACTACACGATAATGAATAAAAGCTTTCAACATTATTTTAAACAAGACTCTTTTAACTTTAGACATCGATTGCTCAGTGTCTTGTATATCTGGACAATGGAGTAGTGTTCGTAGGGTCTGTTTTAGGAGACTCTCAGCTTGCCAAGGTTAGTAACATCCTTTAGTTAAAATACACAGCTGATTATAGAAAATCTCACGCGCCGATTGGTCGAGAAACTCACACTATCACACGATAATCACCTCGAGCGATAATCCAAAATGGTGGCCAGCCGCTTTGTTGCTGTTACCGGAAACAAATGCCTTTTATCTTTTTTTTTTTTTTTTTGTTTAAAAGAATCACCTGTGTATTTATACTAAAACAATTAGTTGCCTCAGGCTTAGTGATTATCGGGGAATATTTACCTCGCAGCTTGAAGACTCTAAGACTAAACAAAACTTGAAATAGATGGAATTTGGAATTTGTAGTTATTTTAACAAATATTTTCCCCACAGGGGTAGGGGGAGGGAATGCCAGGTCAGCAGCCATTTATAATTTGTTGCTTGCTTATTGGTTAAAATATTGGTAGTTTTGATTTTTAACTGCTGCTGGTCAAAAATGTCCAAGGTACCAACCGAGGCAGATTTTTTAATCTGCTCATACACTCAATGTAGCATACACTTTACATATTGATTATTTTAAATCGAAGGCAACGAAAAACCAGTTTCACAATAAGCTATTGAAATGTCTGAGTTAGCAGAATATTGAGAATCACAGTAACTGTTAGCCATGTTCCAGTAATCACCCTTCTATTAAAAACTTCTGTAATGATGATCAACTTTCAGTTAAATACAGAGGTTGATGCCCGTGGCTCATACGTCCAAGTTTTAGAAACGTTCACTAATCTAGGTCCAATAGTAGATATGGTCGTGGTAGACTTAGAACGGCAAGGACAAGGACAGGTATAAATTGTGATTAGATTTGTTTATATAGAGGACTGGTAGACCAAATGTAATTGGGATTAATGTTTTCTTATTTTATACCATGTGTCATTCCCTAGAGTATTATTTCTTTGTTTGACGGTTGTGCATGTGAAGACACATGAATATGGATACATCTCGAACAAAGAATATTATCCTCATGAGAATGACTTGTGATCTTTTTCTGTAGACCTCACAATTGATGCCATATAGCTGAGGAAATGATGCCTTCACTTTTTTTATCTCTCATGGATCCATAAAATGTACACCTAAGATGAATAAATTTTTATTAACATGAATTTTATCACTTCTTCAGCTCGTAACATGTTCAGGCGCAAATAAAGAAGGATCCCTGCGTATCATTCGAAATGGCATAGGCATTCATGAGCATGCGACTATAGACCTGCCAGGAATTATGGGTATCTGGGCAATAAAACTTGATAAGACAGAGGAAGACCATGACGATACTCTTGTACTTGCTTTTGTTGGAGGAAGCAGGTAAAGATTTAAATCTAAAACCTATATCACATACAACACTCAACGCTCATTTTGTATATTGTATATTGTATATTGTATGTATGTTGTATATTGTATATTCTATATTACTGATCAAATGTCCAGGCTAGTTCTTTTGTGTTCTACTAAAATTTTCAAGATAAGAGTGAATCTAACAGAGAAAATCCAAGTTAAAGTTTAAGGAAATCAGGAGGATTCTGTATCTGAATAACATACTCCTCCACGGTCATGATTTCTGTTATGTTTTCTGCATGAATTATTGATGAGTTTGATAATAAAGATATATATATATATTACTTATTATAGAGTCTTGTCCTTGAATGGTGAAGAAGTAGAAGAAACAGAGATCTCTGGGTTTGATGATAATCAGCAGACTTATTTTTGTGGAAATGTTCGAGACGACCAAATTATCCAGGTAGGGTTCACCACCAAAATTATCGAATGAGAGAAAATGTGGAATTTACAGTAGATGGTAAAGTTTTGTGAAGGGGAGAAAAACCAAAGAACATAGAAAAAAACAACCTTAAATTAAGAGAGAGTCATAACAATTTCTGTTCTTTGCCTCACGTGAGGATAAGTCCAGGAATTAAATCCAAGACTGGTGAGGCCAAACAAAAAAATAAGTGTGTTTCCTGTTGCATGAGAAAAATAATTGGGGTCGGTAGGTCGGATTTCTTTTACTGACACAACAGTGGAAATGAGCTTACTGGGAACCCTGTGGTGAATTTGGGAATAAAAAAATAGGGTCGGCAAAAATCAGCAAGGAAATTAGAGTTGGTCGTGCAGCAGGAAACACACTTTTTTTTTGTTTGGCCTGAGCCAGTCAGAGGCAAGTGTACAACTGCCATTTCACGCTTGATTTCACAACTGTGTATAAAGCCCATAGAGGGTATGCCATAGTGATCGTATTATTGTTTTTTCTTCTTCAGATAACTGCTCACTCGGTAAGACTGGTGAACTGTAAAACAAGACAGCTAGTGAGGTTTGTAATCAATCTTTAGGAAGGGGAGAGAATGAGCAGTACTCCAATTGGGCTGCCCTCAGCGACAGCATTCATTTGCTTGCATCCACCCATCCACCCTCACATCTGTCCATCAAGTGTCAATCCAACATTCCATCTATCCATTTCATACATCCATCCTCCCACTCATCCACCCACCCACCCACCCATCCACCCACCAACTCGTCCAGCCACCCATCCAACAACCCACCCATCCGTCCATCAACCAACTCATCCATCCACCCACCCATCCACCCCCCCCTCCCCCCATCCACCCACCCACTCATCCATCCACCCTTCCATCCACCCATCCATCCATCCACCCATCCACCCACCGTTTGTCCATCATCCAACATTCCATTCATTCATTCATTATAAGATTTTCTTTTGTGGCAGCGAATGGAAACATTGGTCTGGTAAGAATATCAGTGTAGCAGCATGCAATACTGAGCAAGTAGTGACTGCAGTTGGCAGTGAGCTGTTCTACATCGAGATAGGACCAGGAAAACTGGAACAAATCAGGTTTGTATTTCAATGCAATAAAAGAATAAAAATAGATAATTCAACTTGGTCTATAGAGGATATAATTAAGCTTTGTGTATGGAGAATATGACACTAATTCACTGATAAACTTGTGGTCCTTTTTTGCCGCTAGTTGATTAGTCACAATGTAGTCATCCAATCCAAATGATGGTCTAACCATTTGCAGACGTAGTTACGAAGGCAGCACCTTTTTCTTAGTCATTTTAAGACCCTGAGTGTTAGTCCAGCCGGGACTCGAACCACCACCTTGCTCACAACAGATCAACGCCCCTACCACGTGAGCATACCAAACAATGTCATTAATATTGTTTTTTTAAAATAATTTTAGCCAAGTGACTATGGAACATGAAGTTGCTTGTCTAGACATCACACCAACAGGTAAACACTGTGATAATAAAGATAATGCATAATAATAAGGATTGTAATAAGGATAAGTTATTTTCTTTATAAAAACACATGCTATTTCCTTGAGTAAAGCCAACTCTATTTACATTTGACGTCCACAAGAATCAATTCAAAAACTTGTGGCAAATGCTTTACTCCTTAAATTCCTTGAAAACTCCTTGAATTAAATTCACGTTTTCAAACACACTTGGAAAACTCTTAAACTCTTAAAAATTTTACGATTTTTGCAAAACTCCTTGAATTTCTGTTTAGATCATTACAAGTTTGCGTGGTTTTGAAGTAGATCTTGACATCCAAAATTATTTGGTGTTTCCAAATTGATTGGCCTACAAATACAATACTGAAAATACAATATCAACTAGGCATTACTTCACTTTTATGAGGAGTACTTCAAAGTCCGCCATGTGCAAAAACCTTCTAAAACCATAGCTTGGTTAGCTGAACATGCTCTGTATTAATTACTGAAATATTGCTTTTCATTTTTAGTTGATCAGAATGCCAAGGCAGATATGATTGGTGTTGGTTTGTGGACAGATATTTCTATAAGAGTACTCAGAATTCCTGATTTAGATTCTCTGTATGTGGAAATGTTGGGTGGAGGTAAGCAATGAAAGTGCATAGGACTATGAGAACTCACATACATGTACTTTAGGACTATAAAAAATTTACATGGAGTGCATAGAACTATAAGAACTAAATATATATTTGACGGAATTTTATTCACCATTTTCCATGCATCAGTTCACTGGTCAAACACAAAGCATTCAGTCGAGGTTGCAAGGTTCAAATTTGAATAATCCTTTGAAAGTACCTTGGCGCCTCGCTTGAGCGCTTTGTGTTTGACCAGTGAACCGATGTATGGGAAATGGTGAATTAGGAAGGTATCCGTATACCAAGGCACTGTAATTTTCTCTAATTTGTTGTTTCCTTTTTTCTTGATTCTTGTTATTTCATTGCGTAATTAGTCTTTTTTTTTCTTCTTCTTATTTTTTCTATTTATTCTAAAACCTTTATAAGAAAAAAAAAAAACAAAAACAATTGTTAAACTTCAATGAATAATTCTTAAGTGTAATAAAAAGTCTAAAATATATAAATAATTAAAAATTAGGAAGTTTTATTCATTAGCTAGGAAAGAAGTATTATATGTTATATAGAATAATTTATCATTGTCACTAGCTAAAGAGGAACACTGAAAAAAATCAGCCCCTGAATGGAATTGAAACCATGACCTTTGGGATGCTTGTTGGATGCTCTACCACTGAGCTACAGGAAAGACTCATGATGAGCGTTCATTAACTGGGTTCATTATGACATACACATAATTATGACATAAAAATATATGATTAATAGAGCTTTTGTCCTTGTTTTACAAGGGTGCCTATGCTTTCCATTAAAGTGTGTGGTGTAATATGTTGCATTATTTGTTGCAGAAATTATCCCTCGTTCCATCTTAAAGACTTCATTTGAAGGCATTCATTACCTGCTGTGTGCTCTTGGGGATGGTACACTTTTCTACTTCAATATGGACCCACATAATGGTATGTCTTTAAATAACTGGTTAATAAATTATTAATATATTCATACAGTTAGCCATCTCTTCCCCTTTCATCCTTTCATCCATCCACCCATTCATCCTTTCTTCCATCAATCCACCCATTCATCCTTCCCTTCCTTCCTCCCTCCTTCCTTCTTTCCTTCCTTCCCTCCCTCCCTCCCTGCAT